CAGATTAACAGAGTTGGAGGGACCATGGAGGTCATCTAGTCCAACCCCACCCCATCCAATCAGGAGACTCTACACCATTCCAGACAAACGGTTCTCCAATTTCTTCTTAAAAACTTCCAGTGTTGGAGCAGCCACAACTTCTGGTGGCAAGTTGTTCCACTGGTTAATTGTCCTTACCTTAGGAAGTTTCTCTTCTGTTCCAGGTTGCTTGATGAGTTTCCACCTGTTTTTTTTCTTGTCCTGCCTTCAGGGGCTTTGGAAAATAAGTTGACCCCCCTTCCAATCTTTGGGGCAGCCCCTCAAATACTGGAAGACTGTTCTCATGCAAGCTCACTGCTGCTTTCCCTCTGCATTTCCTTCCAGACGTGCGTGGTTTGTGGATATACAAACTGGATAGTTGGATCCGTGTGAATTACCGGCAGAGGTGCCTGGATTGGTTGAGTCACGAGAAGCTCCCATCGGCCTGGAACAGGAACCTGCCCCCTTGCCCATGCTTCCTGCAACAGGGGATGTCGGACAACCGCTACACAACCAGCCAAAAAGGTGGGGTTTTTGTGTGTGCGTTCATGGGATGGTCTTCAGGGCCTTTGAGGCCGCGGGACCTAGAGAGAGAATGCTAAAAGTTCCCACAGCTGGATTTAAGCTGGTTAACCTTTTCTGGATTCTGGATGAATCAAAGCCACCGTTTCCATTTAGTCAGTGACAGGTAGTCCTTGACTTATGGATGGTTAAGGAGAGTGACCATTTGAAATGACAACGGACCTCCTTGGGGCCTCTTAGGATTATGGGGCGCTTGGTGCTCTCTGAGCTGGGTGGTTTTCTTGCAGACGTTTTATGACCTAACTAGGTATCATTGTCAGTGGTGGAAGGGAGGGGATTTGTGGAGAAGAAGAGGAGGAGGAAGAGGAGGAGGAGAAGAGGAGGAGGAGGAAGAGGGAGGAGGAAGAGGAGGAGGAAGAGGAGGAGGAGGAAGAGGAGGAGGAGGAAGAGGGAGGAGGAAGACAAGGAGGAGGAAGAGGGAGGAGGAAGACGAGGAGGAGGAAGGCGAGGAGGAGGAAGAGGGAGGAGGAAGAGGAGGAAGAGGAAGAAGAGGAAGAGTGGGAGGAGGACTGTGGGGTCCTTGGTGCTCTCTGAGCTTGGTAGTTTTCTTGCAGACGTTTTATGACCTAACTAGGGAACATCGTCAGTGGAAGAAAGAAGGGGATTTGAGAAGAGGAAGAGGAGGAGGAGGAAGAGGAGGCGAAGAATGAGGTTGAAATTAACCCCTTTCGTGTTTGCAGGTTGGCAGGACTCTGGCTTCACCCTGCTGTATTCGTCCAGGCCAAATAACTACGGGGCGGGCGTCCGATGTCTCTATAACAGAAATGGCCAACTCCAAGAAGGTCGACAGGAGAGAATCTGGAAAAATTCCAGGAAAAACTACCCCAACAACGGTGAGCCACGAAGGGGGTGAAGGATGGAGGTTTTCTAACCCTTGTCTCGGGATTAAAACGAGGGAGAAAAGGAAATGAAATTAAATAGGAGCCAGCCGGGTGCAGCAGCAGCCAAAAAAGCCAATGCAATCCTAAATTGCATTAACAGACAGAGGGTTACAATCCAGATCAAGTGAGGTGCTAATACTACTCTATAAAGCCTTAGTAAGGCCACACCGAGAGTACTGCATCCAGTTTGGGTCACTACACTATAAAAAAGATGTTGAGACTCTAGAAAGAGTGCAGAGAAGAGCAACCAGGATGATGAGGGGACTGGAGGCTAAAACATACGATGAACGGTTACAGGAACTGGGCCTGGCTAGTCTAGGGAAGAGAAGGACCAGGGGAGACAGGAGAGCATCTTCCAATATTTGAGGGGCTGCCCCAGAGATGAGGAAGGGGGTCAAGCTATTTTCTAAAGCGCCTGTAGGCCAGACAAGGAATAATGGATGGAAACTGAACAAGGAGAGATTCAACCTGGAAACAAGGAGAAATTTTCTGAGAGTGAAAACAATCAACCAATGCAACAGAAGTTGCCTTTGGAAGTTGTGGGAGCTTCATCCCTGGAAGCTTTCAAGAAGAGACCGGACTGCCATCTGTCAGAAATGGTGTAGGGTCTCCTGCTTGGGTGGAGGGTTGGACTAGATGACCTACAAGGTCCCTTCCAACTCATTTGTTAATCTGTTAAATATGGGGTGGACTGAGATCAATAGTTGCATTCACACAACACCCATAACCTGGGTGCTTGAAGTTAGTACCATGGTTGTTAAGTCTAGTCTAGTGTCCAGAAAATGTTTTTTTGACTGAAATGTAGTTAAGGTGACAAATTGCAAACAGTTATAGGAGTTCTTAGACACATCCAACAGATAGAAGGTTGCATCTCAAAAATATCCTACAATATTACAAAACCATTATTTTCTGGGAGTGGTGTGATGGCCTAGAGATGGAGCTCTCCCCTCACTTATCAGGAGGCTGTGAGTTCAATCCTAGGTAGAGAGACCGATATTTCTCTCTTTGGACACATTAAGAATGCACCTGCTGAACAAAACTCTGCATTGGCGACAGGAAAGGCATCCGGCCAATAAACACTCAGCTCAAGTCGCCCAGACTCCACCCTGTGAGGGATTATAGGGTCATTAAAAGAAGTCGATGATGTCGATACGTTATTTTCTGGGCCACAAAACCTTTTGAACTAGGTACAGATACCCTGCATGCAGAGGTAGGATTCTATCGGTTCGGACCGGTTCGGGAGAACCAGGTGTTCAATTTACAACTGGTTCACTGAACCAGTATTTGAATGGACCGGCTGCCCCTTCCCACTCCATCCCTCCCCTCCCAGGAGTCTCCACGTGGCCCGTTTTCGATGCAAGTAAGTGCAGAGTCCGTGGGGAAGCTCTTGGAGGGGGGAAACCAGGCCTTCTGGAAGTACCGGAGTCTGGAAACGGGGCCTATTTCGGGCTTCCGGAAGGTTCTGCAGAGCCCAGGGGAGGCCATTTTCACCCTCCCCCCAGAGGCCTGAGGGAAGCCTCCGGACTGTGGGAAAAGGGGAAAACAGCCCTCCCGGAAGTATCAGTAGGCCACACCCATCATGGCCCCACCCACCCAAGCAACTGGGCCGCCAACCGCTTGCTGGGATTTTCGAATCCCGCCCCTGCCTGCGTGTCAGACCTCAAACATAACAAAAGGTGTTTTTTTTAAAAGATCTTTAGACTCCTACAGTTAATGGTAGAGTATTTAGTATTTAGTATTTATTTGATTTGTCAATCGCTTACCAGATACAGGTATAAGAATAAATATAGTTTTGAATACATGAAATGGGTACATATGAGAAAAATAAAAAGAAACAATAGGACAGGGACGGTAGGCACGTTGGTGCGCTTATGCACACCCCCTACAGACCTCTTAGGAAAGGGGTGAGGTCAATAGTAGACAGTCTAAGGTTAAAGTTTTTGGGGTTTGGGGAAGAAACTACAGAGTCGGGTAGAGTATTCCAGACATTGACCACTCTATTGCTGAAGTCATATTTCCTGCCATCAAGTTTGGTGCGATTAACCTTGAGTTTGTATCTATTGTGTGCTCTTGTGTTGTTACGGTTGAAGCTGAAGTATTCATTGACAGGTAGGACATTGCAATGTATGATTTTATGTACTAAGATCGGACCGAAGGCGACGTAGTTCTAGATTTTCTAGGTCTAGGATTTCGAGTCTGGTGGCATAAGGTATTCTGCAACGAGTAGAGGAGTGGAGAACTCTTCTTGTGAAATATTTCTGGACTTTCTCAACTGTGCTAATATCAGATACATGATATGGGTTCCAGACTGATGAGATTTCAAAGGATTTCCTTTCCATTACTCCTCTTAATTTTGTTTGTTTTTTTAAAATGCCTCGGTTCTTTTTGCTTCTGACTTTTGATGTGGTGGTGCAAACTTAACCGTTCCTGGGCGTGGCTCGTGGCTTATGGGGCATCGGTTGCAGGGTCTTGACTCTTTACAATACGGTCCTGAAGTGAATCTGGCTTCTCCATTGACTTGGCTTGTCAGAAGGTTGCCGAAAGCGGATCCTGCAACCGTCGTAAATATGAGACCGTTGCCAAGCGCCTGACTTTTGGATCACGTGACCAGAGGGAATGTGTCGCCAGGCTGAAAAATGGTCATAAGTGCCTTTTTTTTCATTGAAAACTTCCAACGGTCACTAAGCGAACTATTCATTTCAGTCGGAAACTGTTTGTACTGGGCTGGTTTATATTTTCTGGGCTACCGCAAGGCATTGAACAAACAAGCAGCAATCAAAATAAAACAAAACAACTAATCCTGGCTTGTTCTCGTTTTCTCTCTGGGTTGATGTGTCCAGACGAAGAACTGAAATTGCACGACTGGTGTTGCAACAAGGCCGGAATTCCCCAGACGTGTGAGAAGTACGACCAGAAGCGACCCAGGATCAGTTGCCAAGGTTACAAACCATCAATCTGGGGTGAGTATTGCCTGGTTGCAAGCGAAGGAGGAGCCTTGGTGTGGCAGCAAAAGCAGAGGCATCCCTTTGGGAGTGGCAGGTCAAAAAAGTCAAAATGGCTACTTCTGGATGCATAATGGGGCGTTCTAGTCCCGCCTTAGGCATGAAAGCTGGGTGACTTTGGGCCAATCACCAGGAGACAGTGAGTTCTAGTCCCGCCTTAGCCATGAA